TTCCCTGCTGGTGGCCAGGAAGGGTTTAGGTTCACAGGATGAACTTCCCCATTTGTGATTAGCACCAACACAGGTATCTCTTGCCCTTGTGTTTGGAGATTTAACAGTCTCTAGAGCCCTAATACAAATTTCTGGTTTAGAAGCAATGGGCACAGAATCAAACTGTTTCCATTCACTGAATTTGATCAAATGCTTTAGAGCAGCTTGCAGGGGAGGGGGGGGGGTCTAGCCTCCTTCAAACTTTCCTAAGTAAATCTATGAATTAAAAGCAATGTAGTTAATATGTAGCTACAGCTTCAAGTCAACTCCCCAGAACCCCTCCCAATCAGAGAGCTACCCCTAAACCCTTCTTCCCTAGAGCTGTCAATGACCAAAGCAGCCTTTAATCCCGACCAAAGCAGCCCTTTCTTTAATCTAGAGTATAGAATTGATGGTTTACAAGGCTGAATGTTGCCTGCTTTCAAAATGATTTTTTTTTTTAATGTTGCCAATATTTGCAACTTGGAGGATTCACTTGTTTAAAAAAACTGGGTATCAGCTTCTTTGGAAAAATTGAACAACCTCACCACAGCAGAGTGGCAGAAGGTGGGGGACACATTCCTGCATGGCAAAAATCTTTTGAGTTTGGAACGCAGGGGAGTCTCACTCCTCAGACAAGGCGTGAGATTCTCCAGTTCACCATCCCCTCATTGATGTTCATGAACTGTCTGGGCCCTGCTTTATTCTCAAACTGGTTGATGCTGCTGCTTAGAACAAGCTTTGGGGAGTAGGTGTTGGCTGTTCTTGGTTAAACAGGCAGCCAGGTAGATCACTGCACTTAGAGTCAGCCTGTGCAGGCTGCTTCACTCTACCTGCACCACTACGTGCTGCTGGCTTCCAATGTTTATGCTTTTGCTTGGGAAGGACGTCACTGAGACGCTGCAGCATCTCTCTGGCTGGGAAGGGTTACTGTCAGCGGGTACATCGTTTTCAGTCTTCGACATTTGGACTGCTACGCCTCTTAGGCGGTTGTTTATCTTCGGTATAGTTCCCTTTGAGGAAGGGTGGACACTATCCAGGAGGTTTCAGAAAGCACACGTTTCCAATATTATGAATAATGATGGAAGTCTCTTTTATTTTCCAAAGACACTTCTTACTAACAGTTTAGTCTCCTAAGCAACCGAACCAATGTAGCAAGGTTAGAAATGAGGTGCCCAGGCCCGATCTCAGCTGGAGACCGTGGGAGGCAGCGGAAAGCACGGAAGGACCCACTACAGGCCTGGTCCACATAGGGGCGGCCCCACAGACTCGGCCCAATAGCCGGGGGCGGTGAGCTTTTTGCCTAGAGCTGCGGACCCAAGACCCCGGGCAATGGCCGACAGCGCTACATTGCGCCGGCGCACAAACCCTCCGGCAGGGAAAGAAAATAATCCGTTAACTATGCCTGGGTAGGACGGAGGCTGCCTCACGACTCTGCGCAGGCGCCCCCCGCCTGCAGCCATTGGCCGGTGCGCAGGTGCCCCAATCGCTCTTCACATCCTGTAAACAGAGGCCAGCTGGAGACGCCAACTTCTGTTTCCGGGTCACACCTTGACAGCGGCTTTCACCGCCCAGCTCTGCCCCGAGGTTCGGTGAGTGCGTCCCTCGCTGCGGGCCTGCCTGCAGCCAGGTTCCCTAACCCGTGGCACTACGCCCAGTAACTCCTCCGTTCCCCGCTCGGGTTTCGTTAGCCCTCGCGGCAGAGACAGGTTCCCGGCCTTGGGGAAATCAGGGAGGGGGGTGGTTAACCTCCGGGGCTCCACCGGTGTAGGTTGCGCGACCCTCTTTCACCCTTCGTTCCGGGAGACCTGCCGGGGTTGCTGCGATCTTTTCGGATCCCATGCGCAAAGTGACACCACACGTCCTCGCATTTCGTGTCCTTGCCCTTCGGCCCTTTGCCTCGGCAACACGTAGCGGCCGCGAGCTCTCCCCCTCAGCAGGTGTGGTGGGGTTGGGGGCGCCTCTGACTAGGCTGAGGGTCTCTCAGCTCGGGCGGAAGCTGAGGCGTCACTAGCACCAGAGCTGTTGAGTGTCGCCTCTCTTCCACTGTGCTTCTAGCATCGCAGTAGAATACCTCTTGGTGTTTTCTTTGGATCCGAAGTGAAAGAAAAGGTGGGAGAGAGGACTCTTAGTTCCAGCAGAGGAAAGGGGCCACTTGGGGTCAAACCGCGCACGGGCTGCTGTCGGAAGATAGGTCAAGTTTACATTGCCTTGACCCTTCCCGACAGTGCATATCGTCAATGTGCCCCGAAGTTTCACTCTTTACCGGGAACTTCGATGCAGCAGCAGAAGACCACTGGTCATACCCTGACTTAGGAGTTCTTAGCCTAGAGTCCCAAGAACGCCTCGAAAATGATTGCAGGGTTTAGTTTCTTCAGATCATCCATTGCCCAGAAACGGTTAACAGAGCAAGTCCAGTCTAAGCCTTCCACTTTAGATGCTCTGTCTTCTGCCCCCTTTCTTGGGATCTCTAGTTCAAACGCACCGGCTGCTTTTTTTCTCCTTTCGCCTTGCAACAAAGAAGTGTAAGATACACACCCTTGTTTCTGAGTTTAGTGGCTGTTAGATTAAAATTATGTCAAGTCTAAATTATCTAGAAAGTTTCAGAGAGACATATAAACAGGTGTACATGTAAGCTTATTCATTCATAATAACGTAGGGGAGAAGAATGCCTGATATGAATTATTGATACCCATGAATTGAATATTTTAACTTGCATTCTATTAATTAATACTATACAGTATAAACAGATACTATACAGTTTAAACAGATAAATAGTAAAATAGAAACTATTCAAGTATAAGGAGATACTTCATTACAAAAAGCAAAATTTACATAATTTGAAATGACCAAAGTCATTTTAGGTTTTTTCCCCTTAGTCTAAGTCATATACATAACATTTTTGATTATGCAAGTCTTGAATTTTTAAGGATCTAAAGTAATAATTTTTACATTAACTCAACAAATATTTATTGAGAAACTGCCATGTGCCAGGAGCTATTATATTTGGGGCACCTGGGTGGCTCAATCGGTTGAGCGTCCGACCTTAGCTCAGGTCATGATCTTGCAGTGCACCAGTTCGAGCCCCACGTTGGGCTGTGTGCTGACAGCTCAGAGCCTGGAGCTTGCTTTAGATTCTGTATCTCCCTCTCTCTGCCCCTTCCCTGCTTGCTCTCTCTCTCTCTCTCTCTCTCTCTCTCT